TATAATTTGGTTATCTACTTTACAAGTAGACAAGCGCTTAATGGCATTTGGCTACAGAACAGTCTACTCGTCTGCCCTATTACATAAAAAAGGAACACACAATATATAAGCATAATATAACGTCATTTTTACCTATTATCTTGTTCCAAGTTCCATCTAATAGAGTACAAAACCATTTTGTAATAGACATGTAGTACACGACAGTACAATAGCTGATAGACGTTTATTTTCATATTGATATTAACTGTACATTTCTCTAGGAGTCTAGGCGAATGTTTTGGTTATGAGCCAGATATATCAATAATCTATGTTGCTTCTGAGAATTCGTAATGCCAAATAAACCATTGTTTAACCAACAATGGAACCTATTTACATTAAAAGTATAACCAACTGTCACATAGCGTCTCCTTGTATTAATTATCGTCTCCTTGTATTAATAACACCTAATAACATCCATAAAACGAAAAAGGGTATTTTTTTTTAATCTTCACAAATCTATTGGACTTTTTAAACTACTGAGTAGAAAAAAAAAAAAAAAAAAACTATTGGACTTTTTAAACTACTGAGTACAGTCGCGGAGAACCTAACGGGTAACCGGGGCTCCGGCTCGACGTGCAGGAGAAGGAACGGGGTGGTTTTTAGTCAGTAAGAGTCTGACACTCCCTTCCGCCTCACCCAGGCGGGAGCAGTCATTCGATGATTTTCCCCCCTTAAAAAAAAAAAAAAAAAAAAAAAACTGAGTACAAGCTGCAATACATAGATGTGTCAACAGTGATATCGCAAAACAGACCTAATATAATGAACTTTATAGTCCATTTTCTATTTTAGAATACTCACCTATATTAAAAATTAGCTAAACGAAGTGTGGTTGACCATACAATCTACTTTGCGTACCACAGTCGGTAGAAATGTTTCTCTAAAATTACTCTACACCACAAGATTTTCTGATTTCGTCAAGTTTCGTTTAATTAATACTTTATGTTATTACTTATTGTTACACGAACTTAATCCATCTTTTTATGAGTAATATCGCAAGGGTTCCTTCATTGGACCATTCTAACGTAGCGCTCAATCTGATTTAATTGTATTTTTCTTTTTTTTGTTTTAATTTTTTTTTTTACAAGATTATATGTTTATTCTGTATTTCAAGAAAGTTTGTTTTTGAGCTTTGCGCTACCTATCGGATTTTCAGCGTATCTTCGGCGACGATAGTAAGCCCTCTACCTCTATGTAAAAGAGTGAGATAATATATGAAAGAGTTTAATGTCAGCCTTCAATTTCCAATAGAGGCCGTCAAAAAGAAACACTAGCCTAACTCTTCCTTTTCACTAATTTACTTTGAAACGTGTTCCTTTTACAATCGTGTTTATTGCCAAACTCTTTATCCATCGTATTACGTAATACTTCGATTTCGAAACTCTCAATATATGATTTCATTATCCACTAAGTAAATACGAGATCTCAGTCATTTGTTTCAAAACCTTATGAGCTTATTCCAGAAAAAGAAAAAAATGGGTTTTGAAAAATAACACAAACATTTAATACAGCATATCATTTATTTTCAGATGTGAACAACATACGCGCTATAATTACAAGGGTTGATGTAAAACTGGATAGTCAATTATATGTAAACAATAATATGCACAATTCCCTGTAGGTATTTACACAACAACTCATTTTAAGGCAGTCAACATAGTACTTCTAATTTGGGGGCTTTTGTTAGGCTGGTAACGAAGCAAGCAGGTTCATTTTCATTTTAAATGAATATTTCTAGAAGTAGGTTTAAATTAAATGCACTTTGAATTATATTTAAAAAAAAAACAATAAAATCAACGAAAAGTAAATTATCTATACTTATAATAAATCTGTAGAGAGGTCAATTCTGTACATAAAATATATTTAAAAAATAACTATCAAGGGGTGGTTAGGGATCGCTACTGATGCCAAAAATGCAATCAGTAAAATTTTTGTCTGTCTGTCTGTCTGTCTGTATGTTCGTTATGGAAACAAAAACTACTCGATAGATTTTAACGAAATTTGGCACAATTATTCTTCATACTCTTGGGCAGGTTATAGTATACTTTTCATTACGCTACAATCAATAGGAGCAGAGCAGTGAAGGGAAATATTGGGAAAACGGGAGAAGTTACTCCATTTTTTAAGCTTCCGTCGCGTGTGCAGGCTTATAGGTTAAAGCTGCATAGAAATCATGTATGACGGAAATATTCTCCTTAAAATTATATAAAAATATTTCTCAACAGCACATGCCTATCTTTTATGGTTGACTCACAATAACACGTGAAACTCCCGATAGCTTAGCAATTCGGTGATTTCTGATTGTACCTCTATTTGTCTACTCTAACGTTTACAATACTGATTCATAGACTTTACGCTGTAACTGAAAGGCCAATGATTGAAATTAGCTTGACTCGATATTAAAAATGAAAATATGTGAGTTTATGTGTATGTTTGTTACTCAGTCATATTAAAACCACTGAAGGGACCGGAATGAATTCAGAACAGAGGTAGATTATGGTCTGAAGTGATACATAGGCATTTTAACCCTGGGATCGCGGGCGAAGCCGCTGGCAGAAACTAGTTATAAAATAAAATACCTTTTCAAAAATAATAAAATTCAAATAATTGATTGTCATTTAAAACTAAGTATTTGAATAAATAAATCATTGTCATTTTAAATAAAAAAATATTGTACTTATAACAATTATAATATAATGCTCTGTCCACTGCTTGCTTCGTTATAGAATCAATAGACAGTAAATATAAAAGCTTAAACTCATTCCTCAATGTATAGTATACCATTATAAATATTCGTTGAATACAAGGGGCTACAAGTTCAACAGCTAATTCTAATATACATTTTGAAATAGAAATCATTCTTATTCGCCCAGTCTACTTATAAGGCAATATATATTCATTTTTATATATATAATTGGGGAATAGCAATTATTTGACCATGTTCCCTTAATAATTTTATAATATTATTACGGCTTGAAAAGCCTAAGATATAGTTAGATATTTGAAAATATCATTTCTACTACTTTTATTGAAGTACAGGATCTATAGGTTCCACTATTTTATATATTACATAGATTCAAAAGGGAATTTTCTAGATATATGTTTTGATATCAATGCTATTATTTATTTTAATAAATATTTCCTACGATACAATAATTCGGAAAGTCAGTATTTCAAAATAAAAGGTTTTATAGATGGTGACTACTATTTAAGTTCGTTTTGGAAGAATATCCCGATAGTAATTAGTTATTTAGGGATTTATTTTTGGTAAATAATTGACAGTTAACTGATACTACGACTTACAATTTGGAAGGAAATTTCATATATTTAAGTAATTAATAAAAAGGGATCGAAAGGACAAAGGTTTTCTACAAAAAGCTCTATGAGCCTTTACCAGTTACATAATAATTATATTTTTAATATACTCATAGACAAAATTGCATTAAAGAAATGAAATGCAAAAACATGGCACTAATTAATTTACACACGCATTTTTGTTCTTTTCTATTCCAAATATGTTTTCGTAATACTGTTGATAAAAAGCTATTCTAACAAAAAAAATGTATATTGCTGGCTGATTTATTTAAAGCTTCATTATATATTTATGAACATTAATATAGATAATGTACTATCTAGTACTACACACAAATCGAGTTAATTTCGCACCCAAATAAAGCAATTTATTTACCATTTTTGCTTACCTTCAGTTAAAACTGTAAGGTTAATATATACCGAGTGTTTATCATTCATTTATCATCCTCATCCCCAATCAAACAGAAAAAAGCATAAAATAGTCACATTGAACAATTTAATTTATTTAAAAAAATGCAGCTCTGACATCAAAATAACGATGCATAGTGTAATATTGTTGCATAAGATGTTCACATATCTATACAATACTAAGTACATATAAACATAATTAACGAGCTACATACAAATAATAAAAAATCAAGACTTAAGTACAAGAAAAATTAAATTAAATGTACAATTTTTATTTACATTTAAGTACAGAATGAAATTAACGAAATAATACTAAAACGCATTGTTATCGTTATGTTAAATTATAATTATATTTATATAAATGTGCACTTTCTATTCGAAATCATGGCAACCATCATATCGTCATCTAGGTACATTTCACTAAATCTTAAGTCTACAGTAACAATTCAAGGCCTTTTACATAGAAGACTTGTATTAAATATCAAAATTAATTGATCGAAGCTACCTACCATTAAAATTCAATACAATATGAGGTTCTAAGAGGTCTTCATGTAGGTATGTAGGTAGGTACATAAAATTTGTAATATATTGAACCTCTTGAACGCTACGGTCAGCAATAGGCTACAAACAAAAACTGGACTAATCCGCCATTGCTGACAAGAAAAGTTTTAAGTATTATTTATCGTCTATAGACGACCGTCGCGTTCAAAAGCTTAAGTAGTAGCAATAATGCATTAAACTATGACCTCTTAAAGTATTGAATTTAAAAGTATCAATTTACTAACTGGCCAAAACAATATGCGTATTTTACAGAGTCATATACATATATACTAGTAAAACAACATCGCTAAGGAATGTTCTCAAATTGAGCAAATGCTACAAAAAATACCAATTCCTATTTATTTCTTAGCCATTAATTACACATTTTATATAAGTAGGTATATATGATATTTTGATAGATATGTGGAACGCACATTGCAGTCGAAACACATTGACTAATGTAGTATTTAGTTCCTATAAACATCAAACATTGAGATTCATAAAGTACAAACAGATCTGGTAGAAACAAAGTAGTTAATTATCTTTTATACATTTTTGAAAGCAGTCATAACTTAAGGTTTTCTCATTTTCTCACAAGTTTTCATATAATTTTCGAGATTAAAACCACATAATTTCACTAATTACAAAATTAGAAACAGTTACATGTTGCTATTTATGTCTACAAATGTTTTAAATGTTTGATATATAGACATACGAAAAAACGATTACATTATGAACTATTAATTGAACATTCTACATTGACTGCTTATCATTTATTTAAAGCCGAGCTTGGTTACATTCAAACTAGGTTAATCAATACATGTAGGTAAATACATTTTAGATCCTACTAATTGCCAAAGATTTTCTAAGCCAAAGACAGCCAAATACCAGTCTAGTCAATTATGTGGGTGATAATTTGAATAGGTACATCATAAGACGTTACTAAAAACGCAGGTTGTGTATGTTTGTTATTTTGTCCTAGTCCAATAATTGTGTAAATCCTCCCAAGTACCTAGTACTAGGTGAAGAAATTGTCTCTTTGTTGATAGATGGGCAGTTCTACATCAGGTGAACGATCGTCCAAGTCATCAGCATTACCATTTTGAGGCAGTTCTTCTAACGCTTTCACTGATAATAAAATTGTAACCATTAGAATACAATCGTTGTGAAAAATCTGTTATTCCAATCCACCATTCACACATCAAAATGCAAAATAAAACGATGCAGCTATTAATTAAATTTAACTAAAAAATAAAAAATAAGCTACTCACAACAAAATGCAAAAAACGAAACCATGCCGCAACACACGGGGTAGAGGGAATCTTCTAAGAACCGTCCGAGTCAGCCAATTTACATAGGTACGATTTTTGAGGGACTTAAAGCGATTTATGTTAGGAATGGGTAAACATCATCTGTTTATTACAAAAAAAGTAATTGAAGTAAACATTTTGCAAACAAATGCTGTAATACCCTATTTTAATATATGGAAATGGATTGAGGATAATGTGAAACGTGCAGGTGTGTAATGTAAGATGGCTAATCAGTGGTTGGATGCGGACGGTCCTTGTTCGGTGTTGGTTCCTGCACAAAATGGGACAAACAACATCAAGCAAACTGTTACTGGCGTGACACACACGTGTTTGGTTAGTCACATCAACACACACAACAATTGCTACTTTGAATTGAAGAAACAATACATCAAAATGGCAATTCTGTGAGTCAAAATCAATCAAAATGTGAAACATCCATCAAATGTTTGAAATAGTCTACCTACATGAACATTTAGACATAGAACATGTGAATGTGATATTAAACATTATTTAGAGAAGATAATTGTTCACTAGATTGTCAATTCAGTCACAAACTCAAATTCAAATGTAGATATTGTCTGTGTAGCCTTACACAATATACACAAAGGCAAATAATCACTTGACTTTCAATACATTCGACAATATAGTGTACTAAGAATCCATTCCATAACCTACTATACTACGACTCCTCTAATTATATTAAAACAGGTACTCATAATAATTTAGTTAATGAATTTGATCTAGAAGGATCATAGGATTATGAAACAGATTTGACATTACATTTAAACATCAATAATACATACATACAAGACAAGAAAACTGTAGAAGGCAAAACGATTATGAAGCAACGTCCTTACCGGCGATGATTTTGCTCATCTCAGTGACCTGCTTGGCGAGTATCTGGTTCATTTGTAGCAAGTGCTCCCGTTGCCGCTTCTCGTCAGCATCCGGACTCTAACGGTCATCATACAAGCACACACATGTAGGACTGTGCCGATTTACATATTTACAGCCAACATTCGAAGCGGCTATACAAGCTTTGTGGTCTTTTCAGATAGAGTCATTTAGATATTAGTGACAGCATTCCTAGTAAGAATCGCTCAAATATTTATGACAAAATTTCTCTTAATTAATATTAAATAATATCAACTTAACTCTGATGGTAAAAATTCTATCTGCAAAAACCAAACTAATTAAAATCTAACATATTTTTCAGGACATCATCTAAGAGTCTAGGGATATCAGTATAGAATAGAATGAACATGCAAAAAGTATAAAAAGTCCATTCCAAACAACAATGAAAGCAGAGCGAGCGAATTTAGAGTGCACTGTTTTATAGTGAAAGTGAATGAGGACAGAAATGCAATTCATGTACAAGACAGATTGTACGATATTTACTATTTATATGAAGTTAACGACTATGTAGATGAAGATCTATTTCCAACCAATGAAAAGAAATACTATGAAAAAGCGTTGCTCGAAATTTGCAAAGAGAAGTTGAAATAGACGTAACAAATAGTCACGGGGATTATGAATCAATTCACCTCATTAAAGTTGAAACAATACTGGTAATCGGAAATAGTCATAATTTATTCATTCACAGAATGTATTCCTCGTTGTTCATATGTTTTTAGGAAGTAACGCATCGTAAATCTACTTCGGAAGTGAATAGTAATGATGTAACTGTAGTATTATGCATACCTTGTTGGGGTCAGCCGATGTTCCTGTCAACATTTTCTTTATCGACTCCACTTTCTCCTGCCTTTTTTGTTGCTCTTCTGGTGATAGTTCTGGTGGCTATGAAAAAACAGTAATTAAGTATTTTCCAGAAGACATATTAAGCTAGAATGATTTATAGGTGTAATTTCAATGGTCATTTTTTCTTTGCTGAGTTTTAGTATTAATTATCGTTAAGTACTTCTTTGTACATGAACACAATTGCAAAATGCAAAACGGTTCCGCAATATTTAATTCCGGAACGATACTAATTAATTCTATCGTCCAAAACACAAAGACACGAAAGCATGTTGTTTCTTAGCTGCGCTTCAATGAGCCGATTAATCGATGAGAAGTAATTAATTTATGCAACCACTTATTGGACCCAACCAAAGTTAGCATGACGACGTTGTCAGATTGTGATCACAAAATAACTAAAACAATTTGCAATCCAAGCTCTATTGGTTTCCAAGCTTACCTTCTCCGGAATATATCTCTCCGGAATGAGGATTTTCTGTGGTGCAGCGAGAAGCTGGTCAATGGTGTTATCAGCCAATCTGAGCGCTTGTGGTGGTAGTGCAGATCTCACCACGTCTGGAGCCGCGCCACGCAAGGCTCGCTCCATATCCGCGTCATCCACTGATCGTCCCATCTTCTGGACAAAGGAATCATTTATGGTTTTGGTTAAAGGGACCATGAATTTAATTATCTAGCTTATCCTAAGGTAGTTAAGGGTGAGAAACAATTGACAGTGCTAAATTACTTACGTCTTGATTATACGCATCTTTGGGCATTTCGTTTAGCGTTTTAGCACTAAGATGATGAGGTGCAGTATAGTGCCTCCTCTTTTCCTTCGGCACCTGTCTCCTATGTAAGGATCCATTCTTAGGAGCATCGCCAGACATTTCTGTTATGATTTGTTTAGCGGCCTCACTCTTGAATATTGGAGAGAGCTCCATATGAGACCTTGTCAAACTAACCACACTGCTGGTCTTTGACAAAGGATCATTTGTCAACGTCCTTGAGCTATCAGTGGGACTATTTAAGTACTGTGTTGACAAAGAGATGGTGCGATCATATCCAGATCTGTCATAGCTCTTGTTGTAACTGCTGCTCAAAGAAGACATATTTTGCGAGTAATCATAGTTGGAAAGAGATGGACTTGACACGTATTTGGGACTGAGATCCATATTCGGCTGCAAGTAGTTATTATCACGTCTCATGCCGTATACTTGCTCGTATTGTTCGTTTCGAGGGAGTGAAGTCGATCGAGAGTAATTGAGTGATTGTACGAGTTCTTCCTCCAGGAATTGGTCTAGATTAGCAGTGATGTTGTTCGTGGGCCAATCAGACATGGGCTGAAGGGAACGTTCCCTGTCTCGTTGACGTCGTTCACTCTCTCGCTTGACTATGCGGACCGTTTTTATCTCCTGCTTCTCTACATTCGTTAGGTTACCTGTTAAAAAGAGTCACAAGATTAACAAAATAGGTAATAAAATTCCAGGATAGCTCATCAAAGATGGCCTAAACCGTTTACTTACTGAAACCAGCATGTTGTAAATCTTCACTGTTGAGTGGTGAAGTGACATCAGCACCAGGGCCTCTAGTGTCCACGTAGAGGGGTGTTTCAACATTGGAATGATCGTAGTGACCAGGAGGCATCAGCGGTCCTACGTCATAGTCGTAGTCAGAGTGACCGTGGTCGATCGTGTGACCTGTGTCCAAGTTGGTTTCTTGCCACGAAGACATGGGACGACGTTTTCCTGAGAATAGTTGCAAAAAAATATTGATCAATACTCTTGAAAGGAAACAAAGATGTTAACTTGTCATTTTGCCAGTCTCATGGATGACAATGGCAATAGTTTGTGAGCAAATAGATAGAGTAGATTGTATTTATTTATCTTTTCATGTGGCTTCTTATAAGTCAATCTTTTCAACTTAACTAAAAATGAACAAAATAGGTCACTAACCAGGCATAGAATCGTGTGTATTCTGTAACGCGTGTGACTGTTGAGTCAGATGTCTCACTGCACGGCTCAGCTCCTGTCGCTGACGCTGCAATGCTGTCACCAGTTGCTGGACGCGTGAAACTTCTGCAAACAAAGACGAACCAGTGAGTATACTCGTATTTGATTTTTTTTTAATAAAACGTTGCCCCACTTTAAGATTTTCTCCTGTAACGTGGGTGCGTTCAAACATACAAGTTCACATACACAATGACACCCAGACCCGAAACAACATTTTGTGGATCACACAAAGGGCTGTTCCGTGCGGGAATCGAACCCGCGACACGTTGCACGGCAGCCGGTTGCCTAGCCACCACACCAACCGTGCAGTCATATATAAACGGAACAAGAGAAGAATTATCTCACTCTTTGATAGTTCCTAGGTTCTATTAACCTCTTAACACAATTATATAGCTATGATTCCTTCAGAGGCACTTAATACCAGTGGTGGTTCTCAGTGATGCAGACTTAGTTTACAATAGTTTATTTAATCGTACTAACCATCTTCTAACATGGCGGTGGGGTTGGTTGCATGATGCTGGTGTCCAGCAGCTCGCCTCGCCTGCAGCGCGCGCCGCAGCTGCTGCAGTTCACGTTCCAACCGAGCGTTATCCGCAACCGTCTGCTCCAATTTCTATACAATAACAAGACATTGTGTTACGGAATTCTTACTATCCTCATTTTCAGTCATGCATTGTGAGTTGTTATTACATTCACATTCCAAAAACACATATATTAATTTCAAAACGAATTATTGCAGGATTGGTAACGAGAAATGTAGTCTTTAGTAGTTGTGCTTCACAAAGATATAAAATAAGTACTTAAAGATACTATACAATATAAATAAACAAAAAATAAAAGTGCATCATATAGACGAAAACCTTATAAACCTTAGAATTGTGCGCCAACATCTGTTGCACGCGCGCCAGTTCCTCTTCGAGGCCTCCTGCTGCATGACTGGGTGGAGCTGTTGGTCTTCGAGGCGTTGGAGGATTGACTTCCACATTGATCTCGCCTTTGTGAACACTATCCAGCTTACCGCGAACACCTAAGATTCAAAATTATATCTTGTTACCTTGTAAAGAATATTTTAATTGGATTATCATGACAGTGAGGAAATGGAAAAATGAACCATATTTAGTTAATACAAAAGGCACATTTCACATCTCTTACCAGAAAGTAAATTCTCAATAGCATCCTTATCAGTCCTCAGACCTTGCAATATGGCGGCTTCATCAGAAAGTTCTTGTTCCAATGCCCACAGCTCGGCTACTCTCGCTCTAGCTGCTTCTGTTTCCAAAGATTTGCCTGCAGCCACACTTTCGAGCCATCTGGAATATTAAGCCATTAGATTAGAATTTTGTTTTAGATGTCTTATGACAAAATCGAATATTTACTACGAAAATGTAAATAGGTACCGTTGTTGTTCCAGAGCATGTTCAGCCAGAACTTTCTGTCGCAGCCTCTGGTTTCTTTCCAACCTTTCGATGGTAGAACCAGGCCTGTTGTACAGAGATCCTAACTTGACCATATTGTCCACGAGTTGGACAAGAGGTTTGCTTTTTTCATACTGATGTTCTAGCTCCATTAACTGATTTTTAAGGAATTCAAGACGTTGAAGACTTTCTTCCCGTTCCATTGCTTTTAAAGAACTGAGACAATCCTGTAAATAAATTGTTTTGCTTAGAATGTATTGTACTTTAACTTGTTAAATGATTAATCAGAAACAAACCACAATATCTTGAAAACTTCTAAAAGGTATGTAAATGTATATCAATAAATATTAAAACAAACATAACGCAACTAAAGAAAGGATAATAAAAAGCCGTAACAAACACCTCAATACTACTGATTTGAGCGCAGCACTGCTCGATGGCCCGATGGGTCGCCGCATGGCGTCTCCGTAATTGAATCAAGAGCAACACCAATTCTTCATGAGTTCGACCAAGAAGTTCTCCAGCAGTTGGAATTTCCCCTAACTGTTCATTTTGGTTCGGCTGCTGCACCCCCCGTTGCTAATATGGTAATACAAAACGTAACACAAATGATAAAGCAAAATGCAAAAATAATAAAAACTATAACAGAATATACATAAAAATGTGAAAGCTAAGAACTACGGTACAAACAAAAAAACTAAAACAAACAAAACAAAAGTTATATTTAAAGTTACGAGTCGCATACCATTTCATCATTCTCAGTGTTTCTGCGGACTCGAGGGCTCACAGCTCTGATTGGTTGCTGAGAAGCTCTAGAGGGAGATCTGGCTGAAGCCCAAGAGTCCTCCGTAGTATTCAATGTGTTTAGCTGTGAAGTAAATAGATATATTAACATGAAATCATAACTTCACATTTTTCTTTTTGTGGGTGATGTAAAATGAACCTTACGTTTTGCTGAGACGTCGACATTTGCTGTGAGCCGTAGTGGTCGTTAGACTGTTTGTCTTCTACCCATCTAACTCTTGGGCTCACTGCTCGTACCGGTATATTGGCGTCCCGACTGCTTCTTCCAATTGACGTATTACTTCCGAGAAAAGCTTTCTTTGACAATGCTTGCTGACTTTTTGAGTTATTATTTGTACCAGATTCCGTATGCGCGCCTGACATTGTCATAGAAGCTGAAAAAGTTGCTTCGTGAGTTTGGTATAGTTTACAACTAACAATATACTTAAAATCATATTAATTTATTTATAATAAAAATTGAGAAGTAAACATGATAAAGTGTGTATCAGTTCGCGTATTAGTAGAAATATTGATAACTATTTACAAAAAATCAATCCATGTTATAATCGCATGCTTGGTTGTCTCAACACCTTATCGTGTTTCAATGCTTCCTTTTAACCAAATCCAATTTTAATTTAAATTGATGAGAAAAACATAAAAATGCCAAATTATTTACATTTGTAGAAAATTAAAACAATGACTTTGCTTTGCTTTTTAATATTGTAATAGAAATATAACTTACATAGTGTACCTTACAGGACCATAGAATGTTAGAGGATACCTTCATTGCTTGCACTATCGGTCCCAGTGTCCGTACTACAGGCAGCGTCTCCCACGCCTGCACTAGCACCTGAGCCCCGCACGCGTCCTACTCTACCCTTCATTAAACCACTTGACATCAGATCCCACTGTCTCAACTTCTCTCTATCAATTTCAAACCTTTTCTTATCAGCTTCAGAAGTTAGTTTATTTGTGTAACCCATATGACTATTTGACTCAACAGCCAGTTGTTCGTAAACACCTTCATCTGATTGTTTAGAAGATAATTCTATGCTTTCAGCGAGACTCACGTACACGTCGTTTTCATCTAATTTTTGTTCTTCTTCCAAAAAGTGATCAAGAAAACCCGATTTATTTCTCAGTACTCTACCTTGTATATCACAATTTACATAGGTAACGTTTCTACTAATTTTGTTGATGGTATCCTTTTTCACTCTTTTTATACTACTCATTCCAGATGCTTCACTAATTTTGGTAGATAGCGATGTTCCTGCGGGCATTGAGTCTAAATCATCCATAGATCGGGCATGTCTATGAGAGACTCGTCTCAAATTATCTCTCCATAAAGAATCCTCATCCCAGTGTCTATCTCCTTGGCAAACAACATTTTCATAGGCGCTTGCATCTGCTTCAGCATCATAATAAACGGTGTTTGATGAGTTTCCACTGCAGTGAGATGACATACTAGTGCTTGACAGTTTTATTAAAGAACTTGCATTAACAGCATTTGATTCTGGAGAAGAGCTTTCGTGAAAACTATAACTGCTTGAATTCCTTTTACAGCCAAGTCCAGATAAGTTCATTGATTCGGGAATTTTAGAATTCCTCCCACCAGTCGACTCGTATATATTTTTCATGTCAATCTCTGGATCTTTATCAGCAGCACTCAAGAACTCAACAGACACGCTTCTAGCTGTCGTGGCCAATTCGAAAGATGGTTCTGACAACATAATTTGATTATTTCGAATAGGATTATGAATGTGTGAAATATCATTTTTCTTATGTAATGGTCCCCTCCGGCGCTGGTTATTTAGCTTTCGATGAAGGTTAGTATTTTTCAAGTAATGGGAAGTAGGTAAAACATTAATATGCTCTTGAGAAGAAAGATCAGAATAGTAATAAGGAGCACTGTGTTCAGTTGAACTTTCCCTGCTATGAAATCCCGTAGAAGTTGAAGAAGCGTTTGTATCATTCCCTGTACGAAGCGCTATTTTTTCGTTTTCAAACTCCTTTACCTTATCAGAAACTGCATCGTTATTTAAATTTTTCTTCAAAAGCTTTTCCTCGTCATAATTTTTACAGTAATAAGACATAGGAGACTTAGGTATACCTGAAGAACTACAAGAACTTTGCGAACCAGTATAGCTAGACGTTTGTTCACTTAAATGACGAAATTGTTGCCCGATAGAATTCCTGCTTCCAAAGCTATTCAGTCTACTGTTGTGATTCAATGGAGTGCTCGACGAGCGAGAGTGTGTTGCAGTTTGTAAAGCTGCTTGGATTACATTATCTTTGTAATTTGAAGTTTCTGGTGCAGAACTATTTAGTTGTCCTTGGATACTCATATTTTGTCCTTCACTCGTACCAGCTTGTAAATTATCTAAATATCTATCTAAATCTACGAACGTAGGATTATCACTATTTAGTGGGATTTCAGCCTTAACTAGTTCTAGCAACGATTCATCAGATAGAGGCCTTCTTTTTATCATCATTTCTAAATCTCGATACCCAATGGGATGTCTATAATCTATAGCTAATTCGCTTCCATTCAGACTTGTAACCTCGGATGATAAATTCGATGGTACTAACTCAAATTTACTACTGACATCCGATTCGAGTGATAGCCGGGAAGATCCTCTCTCGGCGCTATAACTTCTCAATGAATCTGTTTCTATACTGCTTGATTGATTATAATGATCAAGCAAAGTACTGCTCAACAAGTTACAAGCACTTTCACTCATTTTGTTTCTCTCATTCGTGAGACTCGCTCGGCTATTACGAATTTTCTCACCCCTAGAAAGTGTATCATGAATAGACGTTCGACTTCCATAAATCATTAATGACGTAGTTTTCCGTTTGACAGTATTCATCTTTTGGTTTTCAGAAGTCAACATTTTCAAAATTGAATTATCATATGACATATCCGATTTGTCCAATTTTTCTAAGATATATTTTGATAGCGCTTCGTCCGATAAATCATCACAAGGAGGAGAAGATGTGGGTACCGGTGGAGGTAAAGATATTTCACTGTCAGAGCTATCATGAACGTCCAAAGTACTTTTACTACTATTTAAATAATATGAGGCTGGTCGGAATGTGTCTGATATACTAAATCTACTGAAAGGTGAATGTAAAGAAACATCCTTGCTTGTTTCATCGTCCACGTCAGAAGTTTCTGATTTCTCCTTTGAATTCTTATCGGTTTTATTAGCTCTTTTTAGTGTGTGATTATTTGACTCGGCAAAATTGGATGCAGTGTCTAAAAGTTTGGAACTCGTAGATCCATCTTGAGATTTAGGCTCACTAGAGGATACGTTACTCAGTTCCATATAAACAGGTTCTATTTTTCCATTGTTGACACAAACCACTTCATAAGTTTGCGCATCATCATCTTCATTTCCTAAATTCATTTCTACGTAGGGATTATCTTCATATGTTTGAGGCATTGACTGATCGAATACGCTCAAACTTTCAATTATGGCTTTGTGAGGAGGTTCAGAAACAGATACTTTTCTAGGACTCATTGGCAAATAATGATTTTCTCCAGGAACAGCTACTGGTGGTGTTTCTGGTTTCGACTCAACAAGATCTTGTACCATATCATTGTTTTCTTCTTTAGTGTCGATTTCCTTATCATCACAAATTTGAACATTATTTTGGTTTTCTTCATCAGAGTCTAACAATACTTCGTCGAGATCATTATCAGTATATTCCATCTGTGTTTCTGACTCTGCTTCACTATCTTCAGTTTCATATCCATCCTCTGACATTGTTGGTGGCATATGTTCTTCTATTTTCTCCTGTTCAAGCTCAAGTGTGGATTTCTCAAGATCATCTTCCAAATTAACTTTTGGAACAGATATGGTACACAAAACGTTTTGATAAGTATTTTCCGTGTCCTTAGTAATTTTCATCTTCTCGTTAGGAGTATTTTCTATTGGATCAGTTTGAGTAATAGAGGGCGCGTGCGGGGTTATAGGTCGCATAATGATAGGACTTGTTAGGTTCACTTTATGAGACCTTCCTGCCTGCATATCTCTGGGTTTTTGCAGATCAGTGCCCGATGTTCCCTCTGAGGTGCAAAAGTGAAACCGATAATTACTATCTCAATAGTAATTATTCAATACATAATAATTTTTCAAAGTGTTCCTTATGGTCACCACAATGTTAGTATATTTGGCTTTGGGTGTTAGAGTGATTGATGCAAACTACTCAAAATATCACCAATAAGAACTAAGATTCGTAACCCACCACCGAATAATAGACCAGTAAAAAATATGTTAGTGGCACAATGTCCCCGCAGGCAGGAAGGTACCTCTCCGCAAAGCGAAGTCATCATAATGCTACTGCAGGTGTTCCATGTATATGATAAAAGAATACACATAAAATAATGAATACATGTAGTATTATCAATTCTTAAATGGCATTTTCATTATTTAAGAGAATAGGGTAAATTATATGGGAAAACAATACTGTACGCCTCCAAATTATAATAGTAGTCGCAATTAATGAACTTTTATTAAGGATTGAGTTCCAAAAAGTATGGCATGATTTAATTTTTTTTGTTTGCGTAAAATAAAGTTCTATTAGGATGTTAATGCTATGCAATATTTTATTAACACAATATATTCAGTATCCAACTTTACAGTACGTAATACAAATCTTTGTTGTCTTTGTTCATGCATAAATTACAATAACTTTTACGATAAAATATGTAAAAAGTTTCATGCTTCTTTCATAGTTGATTCGTACTTATTTTAACCATTCTAATTTTTAAGTTATTAACCATGCTACAAAGTAAACACTACTTGGGTACTAAACACATTATAATCATAAGATAATAACTTAAAACAATAGTAGTCCCATACCTTCATCATCCGAAGAATAGCTATTGTATGACGCGTTCGTATACGTTTTAGATTTATATTGGTCTGATCGTAGAGACTGGCGACTATGATTGAGAGACCTTGCGAGAGATATTGTTGCAGGAGTACTTTTTCTCGTTAGGGGTGATTGCAACATCCTTTGCTTCCATTCTAATAAACGTTTCATTGACTCCTCACGCTGGAAAATATATAAAATTTTGTATTTATTCGACACATTCTATAATATAGATCCTGTTATTTGAACAATTAAATTAGTGCGTTATTTACCTGTTGAACTTTCTTTTCACCTTCCTTTTCTGTGGATGTCGAAGGTAACCTTGCACTAGCAGATCTCATAAATCCATCAGCATTAGTATCATATTTGGCTGCCTCTTTAACATATCCACTGACGTTGGAACCATCGCTCATCACGCTACCACTTCTATTTAGATATTCCTTTTGTATCTCTTTTTCTTTTAATGTCCAATTAGAATTCAGTGCTTCTAAATCACCGTACTTCGAATTAAAACTTACATTATCCCGATTCGAACTAAACTCAGCTTCGTAATTATTATTCGTCATTTGTGTATATGCAGTGCTCAGTTGTTTCTTTGCTAAGCCACTGGCATAATTAGCGAGGGGTATCTCCATATTTCTAGGAACCACACTCGGTACGAGTCCTTGTTGCAAATACTGTGCGGATTGGCGCATTTTTTCTGCATAACTTTCTTCAGAATAGTATCTATCAGAACTAGGGTCGTAGTAAGAATTTATATCCAAACTGGACTTAGGCCGTTGTGGTTCTTTGTATGAATCATAAGCTGAGCGAGAAGGAGCGGTTCTGTTCAACATTTCCGCTTTTGACTCATATTCAAGAAAATCTGCACTATGTGGACGTGGCATTGGAGGTTGAATTCCACTCGATTGCATTTTCTTTCGCCTTAGAACTGAAGGTCCGCTGAATGTTTTCTCTTGAGGCTGAAAAGACACAAAGAAGATTTAAAATCTTTTTATTTTTCACCATACTAACAAAAAAACCTTACCAAGAAAAAAAAACAATACATGACAATAATTTCAATTGAAATAATGTTAACTTACATAATTTCCTGGTAATTTTTGTTGTTGTTGATTAGAAGAAGTGCTCACTGCATCACCTTGAGATGGGTTTGGCGATTTGGCGTATGTTTTACCGTAGTCATTTTCGGTGACATATTGTGAATATACATCCTCATAGTCTCCCATTTTGCCTTTGTTATAAGCAGACATTGTAGTAGATCTACCGTAAGCGTCTGGTGTCCGCCTCTCAGCCATTAAACGTTCGTTTAAAGCACTTCCCGCTCTAACTTGCCTAGAAGTCAACTCCCCATACACATCCCTATTGTAAGCATTTAAATCAAGATTAGATTTAGCGCTATTTCTACTATCATTGTGTAAAGATTCCTTGTGAACTGATTCAGACCTTTCTTCCTTCATATTCGATCGAGAATTATTCTGTTGTTCATTTCGTTCATCCTTTGTAGATGTTTCCGTCTGAGGAGTCGTATCTTGCAGGAAAGGATTACGTTGCGATTGCCTCTCGTATATATTTTGTTCCCTGTTTTCTTGTACCATTTGCTGCTGGCTTCTATTCCTATCAAAATAAGGCGACTGTGGATTAGATTTATACATAGATGAGGTACTGGGTTGGTTGTTCTCAAGTTTGTCGGTGACTGTGTTTGTTAATGGCAAAGAGAGATGTTGCGTATCATAAGGTGGTCGTTTTGTCTGATATTGTGGTTGTTGTTGTACTGGCGGTGGAGATTGCGGACTGCGAGTGTATGTAGGCTCTTGGTTTGGACTGGCTGGATAATTTGCGTGGTCTTGATATCGTGCGTGACTAGTGCCTTGACTGTAATGTGATGCTGGCTTTTTGAGTAAGTCATAGTTTGGATCGTACCTGTAATACATGGAAATTGATAGTATAAGCACATGTAAAGATTGTTTATTTAATTTGTATTGGGGTATTTTAAATTAGAATAATTAGTCTTACATGTCAGGGCTTGGTGAATTGTATCCTTCATTAGAGCGCCTTGGTTTCGGTGGAGCGTTCGCGTAGGTTGGTATTTCATCGACATCCTGTAGCAAAACAAGTATTTAATGATCATTTATTTATGCACAGTCTTGATTCTACAAGCAACTACCAATTTGTGATGTATTCATTAAATGGTTTCTGAACAGTTTACTAATGTAACAATCAATTTGCTGCGGCGTCGTCCTCACTATTATCTGCAGTTATAACGACCATATAATGCCTGTCCTTGGTTCCGCTCCAGCAAACTAATTGCCGATCACCTGCACCGGTACATTATACGTGCCTACAATAATACCCACCTCGGTTTTCGCAGCTGTCCGATCGCTCTGTTTTTGCGGCTGCTCACTGGAAATAGAAATTAATGGGTTTTAAAAGCAACAGATTTGATATTCGACTAATATACCAGATGATGGAATGTAATAACTCAATCGTCAGGTGAACATTCGTCAAGAATAGTCGTAGCTGTCAATGCATAAAATATCTTACTTGGGGCTCTGCATTAGTGCGGCCATGGTCAACGCCTTCACCCATTTCATCATGGCCTCCTGATCAGGCGCCGCGAGGACGTAAGTTCTCATGTTCGCATGCTCCAATTTGAACGCAAACTTCCGAAGCACTTTGTCTTCCGCGGTGCAACCTGATACCTTGTATGACGGCAGGAGTACTGAGCCAAGAAGTTTCTCTTCGTCTTGACCTGAAATACAAAGACGTATTATATGTATTAAATTACATGCACATTACAGTTCTTTTTGGAAATTTTAATTTTTGTTTGTCGCATTTTGAAAAAAATACAAAATACAAAAAAAATGTTTTTTTAGAACTTACTCTTGTAGTAGAACAAGCAGTACTCCGACAAAACGAACCACCTCTTCCTCCATACTTTTAATCCATCTGAACCTTGTTTGTATAGGATTCCAGACATGGTGACCGGAGCGGATGGTACACGGTGTGCTATAGGTGATCGCAGAGCTTGGTTTCCACCACTGCTCCGTCTACTGTCCGAAGATGGAGACTTCACACTAGGAGTACTAGATTCGCTAGACTTCATGGGTGATGCGACACTCATATTATTCTTTTGACTTTGGCTTTTATAATCTGATGGTGGAGACTGGCTTTTCCCTTTCTCCATTTCTAACTGCCTTCTATATTGTTGTTCCTGCTCTCTGTACTCAGCTTGCTGATTTTGATTCCACTGAGCTTCGTACTGCCTATTTTGCTTTTCATACTCTTTGTACTCATTGTTTTTAGCATAACTGTCGATGTCTTTTTGTATATCAGGGCTACTATATTCTTTGAAGTCGTTCTTACTACTGTATCGATCCAAGTCTCTGTATGAACCATCTGAGTATATACTATTTTGTAAATTAGGTGGTGGCTGTACTCCGTGAATCTGTTGCAGTAACAACTGCCGTTCAGCGAATTTCTGTTGTTGGTGCATTTGTGCCTGATTTTGATAATGAAGCTGCTGCTGCAGTTTCATTTGTTGAATTTCACTATATTGTCTACGTAATAATTCTGTGTTACTCTGAGGTCCTATTCTATTAGAATATGGCAGATATGGCTTGGATCCATACTGATTAGGATTAACATTAGGCCTATACATAGGTTGATGATTTTGGTATATTTGATTGGTATCTTTCGGTGGGTTTCGTTTTAAATAATCTTGATAGACTTCTGCGTTGTATCCTTTAGGTATATTGTGAAGTAGCTCGTGATTAACGTTCTGATCTGTGTGCACCTCTGTCCTTTCGTGCCTGGGTGGTGACTGTGGGTAATTATAGTTATCATTTGCTCCATAATGTCGGGCGTAATCGTGATTGTGACCAGTACTATACAAATCGTGTCTGTTTTCAAGGAGCGGAGATCGTGCATTCATGTTCGAGTGATACTGACTCTGCAGTAACTGGTGCATGACGCCATTTGGTTGTATTTGGCCTGTTTGTGAAGAACTGAGGTGGGATAGTTGAGGATGATGCTGAGAGTAGATCTGCTCGGGGTGCACGTGATGTGCCAGCAGGTGTTGCTGGGTGAGCGGCTGCTGCGTCGCCGGCGGGATCTTTTTGTTCTCCATTTGGTATTGTGACTGAGCCGCAGGTGGATCAAGCCTGTAACAAAGACAATCAAGAATGAAGTCGTTTTACTACGAAGGGGTTATTCACCGTTGACATGTATGGTGTAATAAAACTTGATGTAGGATGTGGTCGCGTGCTCGATAACATGGAAACGATTCAATTGGAGTCGCTTAATCGAAATGTTATCATCGTAGCTCTGATAAGGTGGTTTGAAGAAGTATTGTGTTTGTAAGAGGAGCTCATTGCGTACAATCACGTAATGCTTTGTGGCGCCGCGCCGCCTGTGCCGCACACCGCCCGCACAACGACTGCCAACCATTCAGACACACATAATTTTATGATGTATTTCTTATTGAAAGGAATTTTTGTACGTGAAAATGTTTCGTAATCATTGAGCACGTCACACTTGACACGACGTAACTGACACCATGTTGGTGGTATCAGAGTTTAGAAAGTACATAATACCTAACATAATAATTATTATTAGCTTCTTATTTTTGATTTCCCAACCTCAGAAAAAGGCTAGCGTCATCGTTCATGGGTGACAAACTTATACAAATTTTAATTGATCCCATCGTTCACCGTCATATTATCAAAGTTGACATGCAACCCCTATTTGTAATATCTACACGTAAGAAACCAATTTTCATGGGAGTGTTGGCACGCAAAATAAAGTTATGTAAGTATTTATTTATCGTGGCTTCCCACGCAAATATCAAGCGACTGAAAAACTCGTCGCTGTGTGAATATATTAATATTCTAGTTTCTTATGACAAGTTTATAAACAACTTTTTACTAATACTCATTGAATAGTGTATATGTTCCCAGGAAATAAAATACATAGAAACTAGGTACTAAAGTAGCCTGACTAGATAGCCTAGTCGTAGAAGCCGGAAGACTAGTTATATTCTTTTTATAAGGATATTGTTTGATTTCTTTTAAACCATTTGTAATGTAAATATTTAATTCTGGTATTATTCTTCCATAAAGTATAATTAATACCCTTATAGGTACACAATAAGGGTATTAATTATACTTTATATACTAAAGAAGAGTTAAGATTACTATAATAGTGGAATCTTAACTGGAAGAATAATTGTTGTCTGTGAATTTGTATGTTTGTAAACGCACCCACGACTCAGGCGAAAATCCTAGTGCGGGGCAACGTTTAAAAAAAAAACATTTCTTCATTCATTTAAAAGTATGTCTTACCAAATAAAAATATCGTGCAATTGTCTACAGTACACAATATGTGGGTAAAACAAAGGTAAACAGACTGTATTGAAGTGTCATCGACCTAATTATTTATCGGCGACAATGATTATGTAATTTAATTTATATCCGCAATTGTATTATTACCACGTGTTTACACAATTATTTGCAATATTTACAATAAGTACTGACCAATTTCTCTATCCTTTATTGACCTATCATCTATATTATAGAAATGGGTAAACAGCATCTACACTCTCTAGAAATAGGAAGTAATTTTATTGTAATTTGGGGATCGACAATACTATAGCAACACAGCTTGACGGTAAGGGACTCCGTAGCCTAAATAGTGCATTCTAGATCATGTAAAATACTGTTTAATTACGCCATCTTCGGCGAGGAAGGGTGCCCGAAATTAAACAGTGGGTTGAGTTATAAAATTTAGAATATCCATTTATTAGCTTACGTGTCGATTTCACCACACTAAGAGGTATACAAATCTAGAATATTCCATACGAAACAAGATAAATATAATAGGACTTAAATAGAAAAATCTCGCAATCCTTTATCCGATCAAGAGAAGCAAACTAACATATCCGTTTTTTCACCCACACATGTACTACGTAATAAAAATACAATCTAACAAAGGAAAAAGAAAAAATATTTTTGCATACAGATTGGTTATTTCACCTATCTGTATCACGACATACAATACTAAAGTTATATTTATGTTCACACATACATATGCATGGACCTTTTGCAATTCTCTCAGGGATTGCCATAAAAATTAAAAACCAATGTCTGAAATAGTAGTTAATTACGAGGTTGAAATTTGAAATTCCTTTAGAGGAGTGATCATTTTCTCGAGTGATAGTTCTCTACTTGCATGTAAGGGTGTCACTGAAAGTTGGTGTGGGAGAACCCAATGAATGATATTCCCCCCTTAAAGGGGTTCAACCATGGAAAATGCGACCAATATCTCCCCAATAGTCGTGCTAATGCATACTACCTATTTAATGTTTAAAAGATAATAAAAGCTCACAAGCAATTATGCAACACAAGCAGTCATTCAATGCACTCTCGTTTCAGAACAAAGCCAATAATGAAGATCATCCATCATTCATCTCATCCACACAGCATCCGGCATGAAAGGAAACACTACTGTAGTCTAATGACCGGAAGATAGGGCAACATCTAAGTCGGCAGTCAACAGTCAACCGACTGTACTCATTAACTGACTACTCATTTGACAGTTCGTTACTTCCTACTGACAGGAGTGACGTCAATGGTGAGTTGTTAATGAATTACTTCTCAAAGAGTTACCCCTTTGAAGGGTAAATGACAGAATTATGCGTAAGTCATCTTCTCTTCATTGTGGTAACCCTTTATTAAGTTACACGGCGTAGAGTGCAATCAACTACAAGATTTCTAGCGAATAAATTCACGTTCAAAGCAAATTCTTAATTTATAGGTTTAATTTGGGAGAGATTCGTACAGAACCAGGAATCCCTTAAACGAAATTTCATTGTTTTAGTCTCTAGTAATTTTAATTATAGCTAGGTACCAAGTGATTAGGTACTCCCTAACAGTTGCAAACGAATGGAATGATAAAATTAACAAAATTATACACAAATTGGTGGATTCAGCACAAACATTTTAGACATTCGAAATATTTCTGTAGGACTGAAATGACGACTGGCCTTTTCGACTACACTGCCAACTATTTGATCAACATCAACGAGACAGTCAATCATTAAGTTTAACATTTTACTTGAACGCAGTTCCTGATGCGTGTACGCATAAAAGAGAGAGTGAAACCCATCTTGTAATGCTTATGTAAATATAATGACAAATTGCCATCGTTTACTTTCCATCTATGTGTGGTTCTGATAATGAAACTTTTTCATTGCAACTTCCTCATTGAAGATGGTAAAGACCCTGTCTGTAAACATAAATAATTCTCGTCTGGAAGTTACCATAAAGTTTTTAATTGTGTATAAGGTTTTTAATAGATTCAAAGTTGAAGAAGAGATACTCTCAGTAGATGTAACATTCTCATCGTCGGATAACTAACTCATTAGTATCTAAAATATGAGCTCTAGAGAGCCTGGAGAATGACACTGTTGGTCAAAAATAATTGATTGCACGGTTGGTGCGGTGGCTGGGCAACCGGCTGCCATGCAATGTGTCGCGGGTTTCCCGCACGGAACAACACTTTGTGTGATCCACAAATTGTTATTCCGGGTCTGGGTGTCATGTGTATGTGAATTTGTATGTTTGTAAACGCATCCACGATACAGGAGAAAATCCTAGTGTGGGACAACGTTTAAAAAAAATCTCCTAAAGATAGACATCTATTTAGGGGGAAAATTTTATATTTCGATCCAAAAAATACACTATATATCTCAATTCAACCTCAAAACAATTTGCGAACACAAAAGTACATTAAAGAAACAATACAGTTACTGAGAAAGTAACAAGAGACAGGCGGAACATTAATGGAGACGAAAAAAGAAACATAATATTAGAAATATATCCCAGACTGTCCGATCGTCATCGTCTAGATATTTGAAGCACTCGAGGTGGCGCTCCACAAGTCCGAGGCCATGTGTTTTCATGGCCGCGGGAACGCGCCACCTCCGGGTGGGTCCCAAATAACGGCGGGAGGGGTTACCATCGGCGTCGAGACGGCGATGAAGTACCTAGGACTCGTCCTCGACAGTCGGTGGAACTTCATAGAGCATTTCCGACGTTTGGCTCCAAAGTTGGAGAGGACGGGGGCTGCGTTCAAACGCATCCTCCCCAACCTCGGGGGGCCAAACGCCTCCTGCCGGAGGTTATACGCCGGGGTCGTGCGGTCCATGGCCCTCTACGGCGCCCCTGTTTGGGCGCCGAACTTGTTGCGGCGTCCTGCTCGGACGCTGCTCAAGTCACAGAGGGTCATGGCGATCCGAATGATCCGCGGTTACCGCACGATCGCTGGGGAGTCGGCGAACCTCCTTGCCGGATTACCGCCGTGGGATCTGGAGGCGAAGGTGCTCGCGCGCGTGTATAACATGCGCGCGGAGGCACGTCGCCGGGGCGAAACTCCGCTGCCGCGCCAGATAAGTGCGTGGCGGGATGAGCTCCGGCGCGATCTCATGGCGGAATGGCAGCAACGACTGTCGCAACCGAGGGCTGGGCTCGCTGCCATTGCAGCGGTAAGTCCCCTCTTTGAGGAGTGGCTTGAGAGACGCTACGGCGTCCTCACCTACCGCCTGACGCAGGTCCTCACCGGACATGGAAGTTTCGGGAGGTACCTGTGTCTGATGGGGCGGGAGGAAACGCCCGGGTGTCATCACTTGCGAGGACCGCCCTGAGGACACGGTGGAACACACCGTAGCGGAATGCCCTGCGTGGGCTGAGCACCGCCGTGCCCTCAGGGAAGTGATCGGCGATGGCGACCTCTCGCGTCCGGGCCTAGTGCAGGCCATGATGCGGAGCGAGGGGGACTGGGATGCCGTCTCCTCCTTTTGCGAAGCAGTCATGCTAGCTAAGGAGGAGGCGGGACGCGTGAGGTAGCGAAGCGCTGCCTCCTCGCGACCCAGCCATCGCGAAGGACACACCGGGCGTCGGGGATCGCGGGACGATCTCCGGCCACCGTAAGCGCGGGCCTGCGGACGGCGAGCATGGGTGGCTCCCCGTCCGACCAGAAACAGACCCGAGCGTACGGCGCGTCGCGTTCCGCGCGCGCCTCAAAGAGCCATCAGACCACCACAGATGGGGCCCAATAGGGCCGATGCCGATTCGGAGTCGCGGAGAACCTAACGGGTAACCGGGGC